TTCGTGGTAAATCGTCATGTCCTAGAAGAAGTTTTATAAATAAAAAGTATTTATGTGTTCTTCTTGCAATCGATTTAGTAATTAAAGAATAAAATTATCATTTTCTAATTGATAGTTTTATAGCGCTGTTAAGGTTTCACATGTATCAGGATAGAACGGGCCGAACTAAGCGAAATATTAGAACTTTAGAATTGTTTGTATATGTTACAGTTAAAACCAGGTTTTAGATACAATGCGTTTTTCCTAGTTAGAACAAGTTTTTACTAAATTCCTTTATTAAAACTAAAACTAACGAATGGTCAAAATTTATATATCAAACTACTTCTTACTAGATAAACGCGTGAATTCAAAGCGAGTCTGTGAGAACTTTGTTTATTATATAATTTTATTATTATCTGTTAAAAAAATAACCTCGAAATTCAAGACTAAGTTTGGTGATACAATAGTTAATAACAACAAAAAATTATAGAAAATGAAGTTATTTTGTTCGTGTAGGTCACGTGATTGGTTAAAATAAACGATTTTCGTAGCTTAGCGATTAGAGATGCGCCGAATAGTAGTTTCCGAATACCGAATATTATTCGGTTTAACTTTTACCGTGCCTAACATTCGGCAGAATTATTCGGATTTATGTGATTTGCCGCGTAAAAAGGTTTAAAAAGAAATATAGATTTGAAGTTTAATTGCTTTATTTTATTACTTTTATTCTTCAAGAGATCTTTGACTTATAACATAATTTTACATAAGAAGTTTTGTTCCCTTTAGCCGTATACTGTGTCAAGTAGCCTAGAAAATAGAAATACTCGAATGAAATATATTCGGCACCAAAACCGAACAATTCAGCGGAATATAATTAGTGAAAAAGATGCCGAATAGCAAACGAATATTCGGGGACATCTCCAGTAACGATCGTCTTAAATTTGATGATTATTTTTTTCTAACAGATAACAAAAAAGTAATAGAATAAACAAAGTTATTTTTCACTGACTCGCTTCGGAAAAACACGTCTTGTCTATTAGGAACTAGTTTTAACTGATATACAATTTTAAACATTTTTTAATTCTAGGTTTAACTGTAACAAATACAACCATAATAACTATCGTACACACTCGTCAGATTAATAGGTTGATCATCCTAGGCCTTACCTATAAATGGAATCGAATTGAATAGAGAGATTGTACCATAACCCAGCACGCGGTGCCAATACGGATCGGGCCAACGGCTAAACGTGCCTTCTGAAGCACGGCGGAGGTCGAATATAATATAATTTCGATATCATCAAATACTAATGTTATCTATCATTAATTAGCAAGGTGTAACGATAATTAGTTTGGTCTATTTCCTTGGGCTATGATTTAGTTAAACATTTTCCATTAATGAAATAGCCCTACCTAACTTAGAATGTGTAATTCTCGGCACTTAAAGCATAACCCTAGACTAATTTAACGTACAATAATAACCATGGTACCTGCAAATAAACTTATTTTGTATTTTTTATGAATTTCAATTTTTTTATAGTAGTTTCTGCTTTATCCTTTATATATTTTTTTCTTATAAAGCGAAATCTAAAGTACCATCAATTTAACTTTAAACATTATTCATTTCTTTAACGAACCACTTTCATTTTTTGAAGAGCAATTAAAAACTTGAACGACGAAACAAATTTGGAAACTCGTCGGGGCATTAACTAAAAACACAAACTTCTTTAATGAAATATCTCTTTTTCAATAGAAACGCTACTGGTAGAGAACGATTCGGTATATTTCTTCATTACCAAACCTAAATTCGGGACACTGAACAAAGATTGAAATGTAAAAACGTCGTCTCAGAAAACTTTCGGAGTGGAAGTATTCTGAGATGCCCTTTAAGGTTTATGCATTCATCTTCTATTCGATCATGATGGATATCTATAATAGAAGGTTCCCTTTTATTACATCAAACCCTAGTAACTACTACAAAAGATAACGGCATCATATCCATTAACGAAAGTTTTTTGTAATATTGTAATGTGACATGCTGTAGAAGGCCACGGATAGATTATTCAACTATAGAAGAGACCAGATGTCTATTTTGAATACCGATGTTAAATATTCTAAAATAAAAATTATAATGACTGGCTTCGTATGCATGTGTTTAGATGTCGCCATCTCTGAGGTCTCAATTTCGATTCTCCGTTCATGTGAATATATAAAATGAAATTTTCTATGTTGTCTCTAGTCTGGGTGCTAGACACCTTAAAAAAAAACACAAGACTAGCTATTTAGTTCGGTATTTAAGCAATATATGTGATCATTCTCTTAAACAAGGAACTCTTCTAAGTTTATAAAACAAATACAATAAAAATTAACGTGTATATTTGTAAAAGTTAATATGGGAAAAATTTTACAGGCTCCTATAAGCCGACATTGACGGAAGCGGGTCGATTGTACTGATACTATATTCTTAAAATCGACATTTGATATTAGTGGACTATATTTATTTGTCTGTCCTGCTCTAACTTAATTTCGTAAACTAGGAGAGAACGATACGATTCACGATATATGGAAAATTTGGTTTTAAGAGTATCACCCCTGAGTCCGGTAAGCCTGACGGATGACGGCAGCGATACAGCCTTTTAAATTTCGATTATCGTTCACAATCCATGGATCTTAGCGGATTTAAATAGAAGTCAAAAGATTTGGACTGGAGTTATTGGGGATAAAAAGGACATTTTACTTTATAGATAGATAAGTCGATTCACTTGTCTCCGATTGTTGTTAAAGTAACTAAAGTTTTCAAGTTATTAATTTGAATAAAGTATAGTATTAAATTAGAAAAACTAAGTATCTAAGTATTTTTAAAGTTATGCCATTTTATGTCAAATTAGTAATCGCAGATTATTATTTAAGCTTCCAAAAACCTATTCGGAAATGTAATAAAAATTGATACTAACCTCATATCATCCTCATCCACACCTATTTGACAAACTTCAGCATTATTCGCAATTTTTTTCATGATTTTGTCCGTGTTTATATTAACCTATGTCACCCACGCATTATTGCGCACAATTTGTTTCAAACAAAGAATCTAATTGAAAATCTCTTTTTGTAAAGAAACAATGTTAAATAGGTACCTAATTAAAAGTAAAACATACTACAACTGTTCAAACTTTCATCATCAATTTGAACACTAACTAACAAAGCTTAAAATAGACATCTAATCGTAAATGAATTTACAAACACGTTGAGCGAGCGAAGCGTTCTAAGCAATAACTTTAGTGTAAACAATGGAAGCAGTTGCAGTTTCCTTAGCTCATAGACTTAATTAAATTGTGTTCCTGCTAACTTAATAGAGAATGCAGGAGTCTTGTAATTTATTTTAGGCACCCAAAAGTATTTAGGCAAACTTGGTGGATTTAAAATATAATATGCACTAAGCACTGGTATTTATAAACTATTCATTAATCCATGATGTCTGTGTCTACGTCTAAATATAATAAAAGCTCTTCATGAAAATTGCTTAAAAAAATCCACTTTGTCTCTGGCACTCTGGAATGTGACTCGAACCATAACCTTTCGCGATCCGAGCGACTGCTGAAATGTTGTAGCAAAAAAATTACAAGTGTTTGAAAAATTCGTGAGTCCTGTTCGGTCCTGAGTAACTCAGTGGTTGGTGTAGTCGCCTCGATTGGGAAAAATCATGGATGCCAGGGATAAAGTTAAGTTTTAAGCATTTTTCATTAAGGATATTTTTCAGTGTAGCATTGTGAATGAGCTTGCAAATATATAATAAAATACCTGCTGAAATAAAGGAATTAAACTGTTGCTTCTAAAAAGAATAGACTTTAAAATGGTTCAATAAGAATATTTTTATAGGTATAATGTCCAGTTACCATTTACGGAATTGTTTGAAAATAGTTGCAGATACTAACATACATGTATGTTATATTATAATTGCGGGATTATTTACTTTTATTATATTTTACATTAATTTTGATTTATATAGAGGCACAATCCGAATGACTACCTGATTTAGATTGACATTTTTACCAATTTGTATGCTATTTTAATATAGTAGAACATTAGAAGGTATATAAACTTAATAAAACCAACATTTGTACCATGTTTTGTGCAAATAAATGATAGCAAATAAAAAAGGTGTCTGTAAACATTAGAAAGAACTACAAATGTCTGAAATTTTATTAATTGAAAATGAATTTAATGGTCTTTTTATTGTTGTACATCATGCGTCGTCTTTTATCCATCGACATATCTTTATTGTTTTGAGGAGCCTGATGGCACAATGGTTAGCGTGTTTGGTCTGTGATGAGGGAGTCAAGCAGCATTCTTATGGGACGGTCATAGGATAAGTGATCGAATATTATCTCGGTGTTGTGAAAGGCATTTTAAGCAGTTTTTTCCTGTTGCATCTGCATTCGTTGATACCAGTCCATACCAGGCCTTCGATTCAATTATCGAAATCTATAAAATAGTGCTGCAATGTCAATTCGATTCACACTCAACAATTTTTCGGACTAATCTTACTTTCGACTTTCGCTAGAACATCTCAACTTTTATTAATGTTAACCAAACGAGTTTCTCTCTTTGTTTCCAACACATAAAGTAGTTTTACGATCCATTCACGAACTGTTACTGTGATGAAAAAGATATTTATTTGGGGTTCACATCTCATATAGGCACAGATGCTTAACTTGTCTAAGGATTTTATTACTGGATAGCATCATTATTTCCCCTCGCCTATTTCCATTTGTACTTTTCAGTTTATCTCGTAAAGCTTCGGGTTCGTGATGATACCACAGTGTAAAAAGTTACAGTGGACTAACAACTTTCATTTGTTTTTTTTTTTTGGTGTTGTCGTGTGACTTTTTGAAGTATACTTTGACTATTTAAGAGACGCCGTTATATCTGACATATAACTCCTGGGTCTTGTAAAAACCTCATCAATAATTATCACTCGAAAGTTGACCACCGTGAAGGTAATATTAAAACGCCATATATTCTATACTTAGTTCAAATTTGTTTATTGAGTGTAGGCGTATGTAGTTAACTCTCTGAGGTATACTTATTTAAACAAATACATAAATACGAATCTTTCAAGTCACGTGATTTATATGGAGCATCATTAAAATAATAATGAAAACCAATAATAATATTATTGAAACATGATACAATAGAACAGTGTTTTTCAATCTGTGGGTTGCGACCCATAGGAGGGTCATGAAAACTTACTCGAGAAGTCGCCGGCAAAAAAAAAGTCAACGTTTCATATGGTTTAATACAGGATGGAGTTGATTTTCAATAAAATATCAAATCATAGTTCTAATAACATAAGGAAACTTAATACGTAAATAATACCTAAATAAAAAAAGAGATTCGCCAGAATTCTTACACCTGGAAAAGGGTCGTGTATTCAAAAAGTTTCTATAGAATGCGCTTTTAGAGATATTGAGGTTCAAATTTATAACATCTATACAATCGCAAAATTCACCTATAAACGAATAGTCCAGTAAACCTTTTGGCAGTTCGCGTAGCTATCTGAGAAAATTGGAATGTGGGGGTCCTAATTATTAAGATTGTGAAACGGAATAGAATTTAACAATATGCGGTTACGAGGATAAAAATAGAAGTATCACGCATACAGATTGCTATATTGGTTGTCATGCAGTTCTATTCTACATACTCAACGTCGAGCACAGCGCAATCATAACATAGAGACGTCGAATACGAGACTATATTTAACAGGGTAGCATCTTTAACGGTTAAGTTTAAACAATTAACCATTTAGAGACCATTTTTAGTGAGCGATTAGTCGTTCGATATACCGCATGCGGGTCTCCCCGACCACGAAATAACATTTTCTTATTTACATCGCTTCAAAAGAACTTTAAATAACCGTACTTATAATTAATAAACTTTTTGTGAATAGGTTTCAATAGAAAAACAAAACCATGATTTATAATATTTATGCACACTGAACCAGTTTGTTTTTATTTCTGTTAAGAAGACTGGCCACTCACCTCTTTTATCCTTAGCCGGGCCTGCACGTTCCCTCAGGACAACGGTCAAGGCGCGTGAGTGACCACACGAAATTATCCTAGGACACTGTTCAAATCTTTCTCCTTGTGGTTTTCACACCAAAAACGCTAATAGTACAGAGGGAAATGTTCTTTTCGAATTTTATGAAATCTCACGCACGTAATGAACGAAATATATTGTTAAGAAAAATCACATGTGCAGCGCAATGTCTTGAACTTCGTTTGTTTGAAAAAAGGCGGTTATGCTAATTATAATTAATACAGATTGAGTGGCCAGATATAATTAAGTAATTAATCCTAACCAATTTAGAAACGGAATTATGCTTGTCATACCATATAAACTAAATTAAATATATTTTTATGCGAAACCAGATTCACTGCGGAACAATTTCTGTTAATACATAGTTTCTATTTATATTTAAAATCGGTCGCAATTAAGCTGTCCGGACTCTTTTCACAGATGAATGGTATGTTGCGACCGGTACACCACACATCGTCCAGTAAACCAGTGCGGTATATACCACCACAGTGAGAGCCGGAGCTGTCGTAGGTTGTGGCATTATCTGGCTGACCTTTCGCAAAAGTCGAATATCCTGACTCATTCAGCGGTTGACCTGAAGGATTAAAACGCATGATTAAAACACTTACAGCTTTCTTAAAAGGAAATAAATGTTTGGGACCTTTTGTACATGTGGCTCCATAATATGTCCAATCGATTCTTTTCGAGTTTTAAACTCTCCTTCTCAAAACTTTAAGGTATGTGTAGCCTGATATGCCGTCGACTGTATATAGATGCTACAAATATGTATTGTAGTGGCAAAAGTATGAATATTTATTACTTAAGTTATTGTAATTTGTTATGTATGGTATATGTTTTCAAAATAGTTTTCATCAAAGAGCTAAATAAATAATTCATGGCTTAAAATGTCAGTCTAAACTGAAACTTGATACTGTTTGTGTTTTCCCTCTTGGTCTTGGTCAAAGTTTTCCTTCTTCATTTAATTATGTTATAATATGATTTCTTTGTCCCAATAATAGAAATCGTTTCCTATGCATGGAATTTGATTCGATTCCATCCATAGGAAATGTGTGAGCCCCAGAAGCAAGGAATCTAATGGGCCGGTGATGATGACGTTCTTTTTAAAGTAAATAAAGTAAAATTTTTCTCCCTGCCGTATGTTTTACTCACCGTGGACAGTGAACCAGACACCGTTTTCTCCCCAGTCGTGGAAGCCGATGGAGAAATGTTGAGCTGGAGAGGAAATTACTTCTGGTGGGTATTTTGCCATGAGGTCCTTAAGGACCTGCACCTCGGTGTTGCTGTTGACGATGGCGAGGTGACCGCCCTCCGCCTGACAGATCATGTTCGCTCGTTTCCAGGTGTAGCCGACGCGGTGGAGCTTGTAGCAGCTACCCGTACGAGAGTCCAGGGTGTATTCTAGAAGAGTCAAAGCAATCATACGAAAAGTTAAACAATTTTACTACTGATAAAATTTAAAATTAGCACTCATCGCACATTACTCCCTCTCAATTTTTTTCACTCTTTAAAAATAGGTTGACTCGGTTGTCTATCTAAATGTCTATCTGTCACTCAGAAAATGTTACAACAAAAGGTTTTTTTTTAAATTGAAAATATTACCTTCATCGACAGTGCCACACTCGTTAGTAAAAGTCATGCGAGCAGTCTTCTTCTTGTAACAGATGTAAGGATAAGTCTCGTTGCAAGGAACATCAGCCGCAGTACCGTTCCGGAGCATGACTATGCAATTCTCTTTGTCATTAATGTTATCAGGCTCGTACGATGCCCATTCCAAGTCAATTTTTGATATGGGTGTTCCTGTACGTATGTGAGCACTATTACTATTAGGAAATATAATTATTTTTTAACTTTATCAATCTACCTGATAAAGTGAGTGTATGTGTGCGTGTTCCTCTTATAAAACACTATATTTAATAAAAGTATTCGAGGATAATTCTTTCATAACTGAATATAAGTGTCAAATTTAAGCAATTTGATTGCCATTCGCGAACCGCACGTCACAATACTAAGGTTCAAATATATTTCATAAGTGCTAGAAGAAGTCACCTTACTGATATTTAGAGCGATGACTAGACAATGGTCACGCTACATGCCTATTTTTTTATCATCATCACATTAAAGTCATAAATTACATGCTATACTTCAAGCAGTCCAGATATTTTAATCATAAACATTCATATTTTTTACCCTCTATAGATGCAAAAGCTCCTTTAGAGACCACCGAGTGAATCCCAGTATAAAAAGCTGAGTATTCACCAATAATCTTCTTGTGTAACGATACCATTGCCTTCTTTAAGTAATCGTTCAGTGGTGATGCCAATACTGCACCTGTAATCAGTACCATTCAAATTTTAGGAAGTAATATAATTATAGCACCACTTTTTACCACCATATGCTCCTAAAATTGATAGTCATAGACTACTACTTGTATATTCGAGATGATATATTTTGATCTAATCACAAGTGAAGCAACTTAAGAGACTTTACGAGAAATCTTTTGCCTGTCTGAGATCGAACCCAGAATGTTATGGCTTACCCACTAAGTATCCATTCGCACAGTCCTTATAAGCTTTAATATTTAGTAGCAATTTAGGAGAGAGCAGTTGCGCCATTGAATAATTTACGTGTGACTGAACACAGGGCCAACTCAAATTGCTAATATACAAACCACTCCACTAGAATGTCACCACAATAAGACTATCGATTTATTTTCACGAATTTTACTTTCATACCTTCGGCGTTACACATCATAAAAGCGTCATAGAACGTAGCTGGCATCACATGCAGCTTCAGCCATCCAACCAGCTTCGGGTCGTACGTGTAATCGAACCGAAACTGCTCGTATCCTGTACAGGTAAAGCACTAGTTACATTAAGACTTTGGTGCTTATTATTACATTGAGATTCCACAAATTTCTCATAATAAATTTGAATTAAAGAGTCTGTACAGTTAAAATGTATGACGATTTACATTAATTAAAGAAATAAGCACACCCAATTAACAATGTCATTTTAATTTAGTCCTCCTAATAAGCTGTAAGTTTCTTTTAAACAACTGCTAAAAGAGACGCTTTATTTATATGCATTTATCCTTTGAGGATATCTTGACCTGTTTATTTTTTAACAATCGTATAAATCCGAATAAAATTCTATATATACCGAAGAATAGTTCGAATAGATTGAATTGCACTAAAAGTATCTTGTCCATATAATATAGTGAAATGTAGATTAGAAAACACTCACAAATTCATTCTTATTTTTAATACATAAGGTTTCATATCGTGTAAATTTTGTTATTTTAATTTTAACATCAATATACTGTCCGTTCATACATATAAAATCGCCACAAATAGCATTGCGATAAATACTTAATTATGATTTAAGATTTTTAACTAAGCAAGGGACAGTGATGTGATCAATAAATAGATATGAGAGTTAAAGTACTCTTTGTAAATATACACTTTCAATACATGTTAAAAAAATAATTAAATCACATAAAATTTACCTGAAGCTACAGATGTAAATAAAAATACAAATAAGATGTATATATTACTCGGCAACATGATAAACGTTGCACTGTAACTTCTCAAAACTATACGCAAATATAGAATTTATAGAAAATAATACACGTCCCGCTTCAACTGGTTACATTTCAATAATAAATGCTTTATTATAGTCTCAGTCAAAAATGATATAATTTATTATATCATTTTCCGTCTAAAGGCAGTTTTAAACCAGCTAGGCGAGGCGATGATATGAGAAGCATGATAATAAAAATCATAATATTTCTTAATACTATGTACCTATCTCTTCGGTCTAAAAAGTGTGCCTGGGGGCGGAGAAGCAAGACGAGAAATGAAATATTTGGGTACATGAACTTTATTTTTATAAAAAAAATGTAGTTCTAATTTAATAACATGGCGAATATTAATAGCTATATTTATGTTTGACTTCGACTATCATTAGCGCTGAGCCAATAATGCCATTAATTAAAAGCCAATGAGTGCTGCACGAATCATCTTATTGTGTAAAGTATTTTTTGTATTTGTCTTTTACGTCCATTCTTACTTTTCCGATTAAAAGCACCTCTCAAATCAAAAGCAGTCTTAAATGTGAAGTGAATACATTACAAAAGGCACGATTTAAATCCTATATTGTTTAAAACGTTTGATTGTATGGAACAAATAAAATTCCTTTGAAGAATATCTACTTCAAACGAAGAGTTATCTAAATGAATAACATTTTTTTGTATGGCATAAACTGTTAGAAACACTTTTTGAAAGCTGCTTCGTAAGGCGTGCCTCTCGAGGCTGCCTTTCAATGTGGATACACCGCTTAAAGTGTTTCAAGCGAGTTAAAAATAAAACAAAATATTTAAACGTTTATTTATTCAAATTCAATTTTCTAGTTCAATTACTTTTTATTGAAATGCCAAAGCACCAAAGGGTCAAATTTAAAAGTGAGCATAATAATATGCAGGTGTGGTCAGTCATATGGATGGCATGGTCAGCCGATAGTGCATTAATAATAATAATAATAAATGCGTGCGTACGGGTATATGTAACTATGTGTACGATGCGCGTTTTATCTTAGGATTAGGGATACTTTAAGGGAAAAATTTAAGGAAATAGACATTATTTTATTTTATTTATTTTATTAGGGTGGCTACATGCTTGAATTACAAAGTAACTTACAAACTACTTGATAAGAGCAAATGACAAATCTCCACAGATGGCGGTAGATTTAACAATAAACAAATATCTCTGACCTTAGTAAAGAACAATGTTATTTAAATGCAAGAAGTGCAAAAAACAAAAAGTCAAAATCACCAAAATAGAGAACATAAAACAATATAAATAATGAGCCTAGCCTATCAATAAAAATTGATCAATAGCACTATGGGTGTTGGCTATAATTCCGTTTATGTATGACAACACAGACCAAGAAGAAGATACTACGTATTATGACAAGCTGTCCGAGAATATGTCAAGTGAAGTATCTTGACCCTTGTTAGTGGCATTAACTAATTTAGATACGCGAATAAGAAAGGCATTGCTACGGTGGACTGTACCTGAAAATGGAGTATGAAACAAATTTCTAGGGCAACAATGTGGATATTTAATTTAATTTTTGCAACCAGTTCAGGGCAGTCAACTTTATTTTGCGCTATTTTAGAGAAGTAACGCACATCCGAGTTTTCTTTTTATTATGACTGTTGCTTCTCAATACATATACGATAACTTAATGTACGTTCATAAAAATATTAGTTTGTTTTCTATAAAAAGTGATGTAGATAATTTTAATACAAGAAATAAAAATAAATTAACGGTGCCTGTCACTAGACTGCAAAAAGTTAATAACTCATTCAAGGGTCTTTGTGTGCGCTTCTACAATAAGGTTCCAAGCAAAATACAAAAATTAGAAATCATGCAGTTTAAATCTATTATTAAAAAAATACTTATTAAAAAAGCTTATTATAAGGTATCCAGTTAGATAACAGATAAGCTTTGACTTGAGATGGTCCAGCAACTGGATAGGTGATTACTTCTAAACTCATTATCTTGTTTCCATTATTATTAAATGATTATGTTGACCATAGTTTTTTTTCTCTCTCTGTTTATAATGTATAGATCTGGTAATGACATGGTTTTTGTGAATGTCATTATTCATATTAGAGCTGGTTAATTTCTTGCTCGTTCTTCTTATCAGCCAAAAGACGTCCTGAACGAGTGGTAGGGAAAAAAATGTAGGACGATTCAAAAGTACTTTTAAGAAGTCCATTTGAATAAAGATTATTTTGACTTTGACTTTATATTTATTTTAAAAGACTCTCTGTTTTGTGATAATTTAAATTTAGAAGCTTACTTTGTACTATTTGCTTTACTGTATGTTTTGGTTTGCCATAAATATCAACTGTTTTTTTATTATTATTATTATTTTCAACAAAACGAATACAATAATTTAATATATCAGAACGGTACAACATGAACTTACAAAAGTTTTTTTAATTTTATGTTTTGCCTATATATCTAAAGATACGTTTTTTCTACCTTTAGACATATAACGCACCATTAGAAACTCAATGAACCGATCACTTACATCAATTGGTAATTTTATGCACATTACAGGTTTACTTTGTATTTTTTTTTTCTAAAAATGATTTTTTTGTTTATTTAAAATCAGTCGCCATCAAGCTGTCAGGTCTCTTTTCGCAGATGAATGGTAAGTTTCGACCGGTACACCACACATCGTCCAGAAGCCCAGTGCGGAATATACCACCACAGTGAGAGCCGGAGCTGTCGTAGGTTGTAGCATTATCTGGCTGACCTTTCGCAAAAGTCGAATATCCTGACTCATTCAGCAGTTGTCCTGAAGAAATTACATTTATTTAATAGTTAACACGAGTACTGCGTATGTTACCATATGTAGAAAAATACCGAACTACAGAATGATAAATAATACAGGTCGTCAATGAAAGCCGGGGAGAATTAATTTTCCCGACTGCGCGCTCACCGTGGACAGTGAACCAGACACCGCTTTCTCCCCAGTCGTAGAAGCCGATGGAGAAATGTTGTGCAGCTGGGGAGAAAATTACTTCTGGAGGATATTTTGCCATGAGTTCCGTGACGACTTGCGCTTCGGTTTTACTGTTAATGACAACGAGGTGACTTCCTTCAGCTAGACAAATCATGTTCGCTCGTTTCCAGGTACGACCAACGCGGTGGACCTTGTAGCAGCTACCCGTACGAGTATCCAGGGTGTATTCTAAAGAAAAAGATAGTATTAAAAAAAAGACTGCAGGTAGTTTTCTTAAATATATGCTACAAAATAATTGATGACTGACCATTCCTCATCATTTTACAATAAACGGAAAATTGAGAGAGTTTTTTAACACTCGCGAGAGAATCAAAACCTAAACAGGGGGAATCGATCTAGACAATATTACTACGGTATCATGATGGTCAGCCATATTAAAAACGATATTGGTTGTCTTCCATAATTATTACCTCCGTCTACTGTGCCGCACTCGTTGAGACTCATATCTACAGTCTTCTTCTTGTAACATATGTAAGGATAAGTCTCGGTGCAAGGAACATCAGCTGTGGTACCGTTCCGGAGCATGACTATGCAGTTTTCTGTATCATTAAAGTTGTCAGGCTCGAACGGGGCCCATTCCATGGGCAGTTTTGATAGGAGTATTCCTGTATAAAAGTGATATCATTAAAGAGAATGTAGATCATGAATGTTTTAGATGAGACAAATTGATGGAGTGCTTTTTTCATAAATATGAAAAAAGTTCATTGTAAATTTTAAAAGATGTTCCACCAAAAATCCACCAACCACTAGATATTCAGAGATAAGACTCGAACCCACAAATTTTTGGAATCCGGGCAACTACTCTTTTTAAGCATTTTTCATTAAGAATATTTTCCAGTATAGCGTTGTGTATTCAAAATTGATCAGATATGATAGATATTTTGAATGAAATGAAAATATCTTTATTCAAGTAAGCTTACAAGCACTTTTGAATCGTCTAAAAATTTTTTATCCCCTACCACTCGTTCAGGGAGTCTTTTAGCTGACAAGAAGAACAAGCGAAAGAAACTTACCAGATCTTTATCATAAGTAATGATATTTACATAAATCATGTTAATAAATAAGTCTCAAAGTCTGTAGGATATAGGTTGGTAAATATAATTAATCGTAATAGAACAAAGCGACAGCAATGTTAAGAGAGGCAGAATGCATAATAAACATGTTTCTGTTTTTGTCATTTTCATATTACATAGTTTAGTTTTAATTAGATTATCCTCATCTTACCCTCGACGGACACATAGGATCCTTTTGAAGCAGCTGAATTAATCCCAGTGTAAAGCGCTGAATAATCACCAATAATCTTTTTATGTAACGTCATCATTGCGTTCTTCAGGTTCCTGTTCACTGGTGATGCTAACACAGCGCCTGAAATCAGTGCCGGTGCAAGGCTTATTTTAGTGTTACCACAGATATAAGCGTAAAATCGCCTTTACATTGCATTGCCCTGCCAGTTTCTACATTCGTTTTGCGCTAAACGTTTCAAACACTGCAGAATTATGCCGTGCTAACAGGGTCATGGTCATTGTGGTGACTGGTGTGTGTCTTTTAGGATTAATGGCAATAACTGCCATGCTGCTGGGTAGACGGGATAGCGATAGCGGTGGTACAATTCTTCGTACTCTCTGTTCTTGTATTGTCAATGGTTAAACAGTTAGCCGATGTCCACTGCCCCCACGGTATTGATTGTGAGAATGAGCGTTTTGCACCTGACTTTGTACGCGCAAAACGCCGACTCTCACAACCACCACTGACTACTGTTTAACCAAGGAGTTGTTTAAACAATGTTAAAAAGCAATAAAGACTGATTTAGTATTACAAATACTGGGAAAACTTAATTTAATAGTTCCATCTCTCATCTTCTGGTATTTTACTTTCATACCTTCGGCGTTACACATCATAAAAGCGTCATAGAACGTAGCTGGCATCACATGCAGCTTCAGCCATCCAACCAGCTTCGGGTCGTACGTGTAATCGAAACGAAACTGATTGTCACCTGTAGAAACAATGCACAATTATACAATTACCTACTTTATGACTATTTTGGTTTTTATATATCTACTGGGATGTGTGGATGTCGAGCAACTTTCGCAAGAGACAGTGATAGGTTGGGTGACCAAAAAAAAATTATCTCGGGCTCCTGTGCGCTTCAGAAATCACGTTAAGTCGTTGAGCCCAGCTACATCTGCAGTCATTAACACTCATAAATCCGCACAAGGATGATGGAGGTCGTAGCCCATTATCCCGTTCTTATACAAACAACAAGTATGACATGCAATAAATGGGTTACTATCATTAATAATAAGGTTATTTGAAAGTATTTTTAGGACTTTCAAATTACCAGTCATCGTTACTAATGTCTATTAATTGACTATTACTATTTTTAACCCTTATCTTATAAGACCACTAGATTTTATGAAGACCTTAAACTTAAATATTTATAACGTTTTGTATAAAAAATAGTTAAATAAATATAAGTTATAGTTACCTGTGGTCGTAGTTATCAGTATTAATATAATAATAAATCTCATGATGTATTTACTTGTGGTGTCGACCTGCAACTTCGCAATAATATGGAAAAATAACCAACGCCCGGCTTCTACCGATTGCATTACAATAATAAATTAATAATTTACAATCAGCAAAAAAACACTAGTTTTTGAGCTCATTTTCCGTGTAGGCCATTTCAAACGTCGCAGAATTTCTGATAAGGTAGCGTTAAAAAAAATAACGTTACAGTCGGTAATTATTGTACCCGGAGCACCAAAGTTCTGTAAAGCATGACTTTATTTTCAATATTAAATTGACTATCAAAGCTCACCATTTATCTCTAACTTTAATCATAAATAAAAAAAAAACTTTTATATATATGTTTGTTAATTGACAATATATTCACCTTTTTAACGAAGGGAAAGGCTTCAAACATTATCTTTGCTACCACCTGGTAAGCAGCAGGGAATGTGTGGTCCACCGCCGTAAGTCCACCCGCGGACATGTCAGTCCAATGGGCCCTTGGAGACCTAACTTATACCCTCCCGTTGAGGGGATAGGCCCAGAGAACTAGCAAGCCAACTTCAACAAGACTCATCTATGGAGATAGGTTCACCTCGCTCACGTTCATTTATAGACTATAATATAATTTTTGACACGATTTATATGTTTATATAATTATAAATTGTTATAATAACTCTGATTACTAAATAAAGCTGAAATACCTAAGGAGACTGTTTTCGCCCAGTTATTGAAATTTAAATAAATGCAAAGAAACGTCATCGGCATTCATGTTAATGATTTTTACTCATCAATATCATATTTCACAAGTTAAGATAGAAATGAAAGACTTGGACCAAAAATAGTTCCCCGCAGAAATCAAAACTAATACAATTATTATTTATCATACTTTTTCACACTGTTGTACCAATATTTTTTAAAAGAATAAGAGAAAGTGTATTAAAGAAAATTGAGTGGCTGTGCAATACTTTGTGAAACTGAAGGTAAACATCTTCTTTTTACGCACACACTCAACAGTTTGAGTTCCACTAACTTAACCGAATGACTTTACTACCACGCCAATCGTGTAAACGCCAAACGGATCGAACGGTGAAAACATGCGAGTTTGAGTCACAATTACGTAAACTATTCAATTTGCGTTAACTTACCGTAAGAAGTGAACGTTTGTAATAAACTGCGTTTCTATATTTCACGTACTGAAAAACCAGCTATTAAAATTAAACGGGTTTTTTCTCTTTTCTCCAACGTTTTATTTTTTTTATTAAGCAAAGAAATTACCATCGGTGATTATGTTATTATTGATAGATTACCTATTTACATAGGCAATATTTACTATACATATGGTCTAGACTTTTTATTATAAATTTACTATACATATGTTTTGTATTAATGTTTGCATGGATAGCCGGGATCAACAGTTAAACATGCTTTGCGAAGCATAGAAAAGCTTAAGATAATATACAGTGGCACGAAATATATCTTAACATAAGAAATTGCAATTTGGGATTTCATTTGTAGTTTTCATTATATTTTCAACATTCTAGTCACGATCATCTCATTATTTAGTAGCAATATGTTTCCTTATTCTAATTTTATTATAATTCACAATGGTGTTGTGAATTTTAAACATATTAAAGTTGTGAATTTAGTTCTCACCTCATAAATTCAAGTGAAAATTCACGGAAATTCGTAAAAGGATATGACTCATGCTCGCGATTTTCACGAAACGCATTCGCTTGCGAGCGTCAATCGGTCTTCACTTTCACTGTTGACGAGTTTAAAACTCTAACTCGCAAATATGTTTCAGCCAGTGTGTCACTAGTTGGCGCTTTTTAGTTTCCATACTAATTCTAGACGCGCTCGCTCAAACTCGGCACTATAAAATTGGAAAACCTGGGTACTGCTTATATAAAACTTCAAAAATAACATCATTTTGTTTTTGTTTTATTCAACATGTAAAGTCGACTCTATAAAAACAATATAAGTGTTCATATAGTTAATTATATTTCAATTAATAGAAGCTATTATTATACAAGGCAACAACGATTGTTTACGATTCGTTTCTTGAGGAAATAACTTTATTTGCAGGAAGTTTGGAATTAATTAAGAATGTTTATCTTGCAACCGCTAATGTTATTGCCTACTTTGCCAAAACAAGCTCACACTTGAGCCTTCCTGTTGTTATTAATTCTGTTATCTTAATTAGGTACATAATTAATACCTACTTGAATGACTTCCATTGAACGAATGGCAAAAAATATAAAATAATTCTCATAAATGTCACTACAAAAGACAACAGAAAACGCATAACGCTTTAATCGCTTTGTAAACTTTAGCCTTTGTAGTAAACTGACATGCTATGTTGATGTTCTGTGTACATAAATACTTCTTATTATTTTGCTACTTTCAAATTCAAACAAAATTACCATATAACGTACCTGTAAAATAGTACTTTTGAGTTTAACTTCTGTAATAATAATACAGTTCTAAATATTATGCTAATGACGGTTGTTAAATTATGAAACCAGGTTATTTACTTAAAATTCTATATAGAAAGTATGTAACTTGCCTGTCTGTTACAAAAAGTCCATTAAATTTGTCATTAGCTTAAAGCAACATTACCGCTTTAAATTTTCAAATTCAGAACAATCATTGGAACTTAAAGTCGTCACTAACAAACCTTAATGGACGTTTGTGCAACTGGGCGTTAAAAGTATTCTTACCGTTCAAACTTAAGTCAAAATTTCTTAGAATTTGATTAATCATTCTCCATTAGAGATAGACCTAGTATTCATACTCAAGATTCTCGGTAAGTAAACTGTTCTTAACCTTTTTAAGCTCAGCTTAAATATTCACTAAACTTAAGTATAAAGAATCAATTGTACATATTCTAGACTTAGCACCGGTTATTGCTCGAGTATCTGAACGTGATCTCAACTTAGTCAGAATACTTGGTTTACATTTGCAAGTCAAGTTACTTGTGAAATTGGCAGTTTTATATAGGCTAACATGCTGTTAATTTCGAAATCTATTTATATGAATTGATGCAATTTTCAAACTATGTATAGTAGTTTTTAGACTGCCATATTTAATATGACATCTAGTGTATTTTTCACTTGTCTATTAATCACCGAGTGTTCTCATAGCTCCTCATCTTCTGTGATCAAGCTGTCAGGCCTCTTTTCGCAGATAAATGGTACGATGTGACCGGTACACCACAGGTCGTCTAGTAAACCATTACGGAATATACCACCACAATGCGACCCAGTGCTGTCGTAAGTTCTATCGTTATCCGGTTGTCCTTGAGAAAAGTTTGAATAGCCTGCTTCGTGCAATGGTTGACCTGGAATGATATATATTTTTTGCCATTTTATAAGGATGCTAATGAATAGCTTTAATTAGTGATATTTCTTACACCTTAATGGAACTTTGAATGTCTTCATGAGAAGTACAGTTTTGTCTTGTAAAACTTATTTTTTTATAATTTCATCATTACTACCTTCAGGTATAAGATAGTATTAACACATCATTCTATTTAATCAAAGCTAAAGATATAAATAGTGAGCATAAACAACACGATAAGCCCGCGGGCTGTTCGATAAAGTCGAACACACAATAACGCCAAAATATATCTCTGGGTTTTCATTTTTGTAAAACTGTGGAAATTTCTTCAATTTAACTTTAAATAAATCAAGCATATAGTAAATTGTTCTTATTAGTGCCGATATAAATATTAATAATAAGCAAAGGTCTAATCAATACGGTTAGAAATTGCATGTATTTGTGTAATACTTACCATGAAGGGTATACCATACACCATTTTCCCCCCAGTCATGGAATCCAATGGAGAAAACATCTTTGCTTGGGGAGAAAATCAGATCATGCGGATATTTAGCCACGAGTTCCTTGATAACCTCCACTTCGGTTACGCTATTCATAATGGCAAGATATCCACCTTCCGCCATACAGGTCATGTAAGCGTTTCTCCATGTGCGGCCGATGCGGTGGAACTTGTAGCAGCTACCCGTGCGAGGTTCCAGGAAATATTCTAGAAATAAATTGTCGACAATTTTTTTAGAATAAAAGTATGATTTTGATTATACTAATGAAATCATGTTTTTTAATGTTTTCTAAATAATAATAATTGTAATTATTATCAAAATTACCACTCTCTCAGATGCTTATTACTGGCAGAAACTAAAATTTATTTATAAACTTATATAATATAATTATATTTCAGAATAATAAGTAAAGTAGATATTACTTTTTAAAATATTAGTATGTCATTGCACGCCTCACCAATCCAGTGCATCATTAACCTACTGATAATTCTCGTGCTGAGTTACAAACATTCCATCACGCAGGATAAAAAGGTCTAATGCATTAACTGAATTAACCTATATTTTTGTTCTTTATGAAGAATACTTAAAAAATCCACTTTATCTCTGGTATGTCCATATTTATGTATTTAAATAGAAATAAGCTCACTAGCAGCAATAGAGTCAATATGATATACGAAACTTACCATTATCAACTGTGCCGCATTCGTTGAGATCCATGTTCACAGTTTTCTTTCTGTAGCAGATGTACGGGTACGTTTCACTGCAGGAAACATCAGCCATGGTGCCATTTGCAAGCATGATGATGCAGCTTTCTGTATCATTGTAGTTGTCAGGCTCATAGGGAGCCCATTCTATGGCAATTTTCGATATCACCTTACCTATTAAGGGCAACAGAGAATGTTATGTTGAATTTTTGTTTCTATCATGTCTTCAGATTGGAAAAAGCAATCTGCAGTCACAGAAGACGACGACAGGACGGTAGGGACGAACGATTTGGTTTGTTATCACATTATCTATCAAAACTTGAAAATGTTTATTAAGACGGCTGTTGAAATATGTTATTTCTAAAAAAGCGTACCAGAGGGTTCTCTTTTAGGACCTTTTTTATTATTTAATTGACAAAAAAATTTATGGCGTAGTTATTTTTTCTTTCACAATTACTTATAACAATAGCCTTTACAATAGAAGTGAATGACATGATACATCTTGATATGTTTATATCATGAAACTAACGCAATAAAATATAATTTCCTATTCAACTACCTTTTTTTCCATTTAATTAAGGATTCACGAGCAAGTAAGAAGTAACATATCACATACAAAAACTATTTTATCATCCTTATCACTATCATCCATAAAGAGCATCGGACAGGAAAAATCGTAACTTCACGCAAGCTCAGGTTGGATTAGCAGATGTCAACAACTTCAGATGTAGTCGAGACATACGGTTGGCTGTTCCGAGGTGTAGAATAATTTAACATAGTAAATTTCTTATTGAATAATACTTAAAAAGCCACCAGCCCCAGGTAATCTAAGATGGGACTCGAAACCACGATCTTATGCAACCCCAACGACTGCTCTACCCACTGAGTTATTCAGGACCTAACAGGACTGAAAAATTTTTCAAGCACTTGTTACTTTTCAATACCAGTGAGCGTATTTTCATCAATGTTCAGGCAATCCACACAAAGATGAAAGAAATATTTTTAACAAATATTTATATTTTCAATTAAGATGTAAATTTTGTTTTAAGCAGTCACCCGAATAGCGAAAGGTCACGGGTTCGAGTCCCATCTCAGAGTAGCTGAGACTAATAGATTTTTAGGCATTTTTCATTAAGAATATTTGTCGGTGTAACATTGTGAAAACAAAATTGATCAAATATTATTAACATTGTAAATTTTTCTTTACTCTTTACTTACCCTCAATGGTTGCAAAAGATCCTTTTGCGACTGATGAGTGGATCCCGGTGTACAATGGACAGGAGTTCTCAGTCCTCTTATGTAAAGACACCATTGCGTTTTTAAATAAAACATTCAATGGCGATGCTAGCACTGCACCTGAAAAAGAGATAAACAACTTTTTTTAACTATGTTTGTAATGTATGCACAGTGATCAGCATCATCATCATCATCATCACCAGCCCTTTTACATTCCCACTGCAGGGGCTCAGGCCTTCCTTATGGATGGTTAAGGAGGATGGGCCATGATCCTCCACGCTGGCCCAATGCGGATTGGAGGGTATTAACGACTGTAAATGCAGCCGGGACCAACGGCTTGAGATAATAATTTTTTTGGTCACCCATCCCGTGACCGACCCTAGCGAAAGTTGCTTAACGACTACGATCGCGGGCCGCGGCGCTTATCCACTACGCCACCGAGCTACTCAGTGAACAGCACATCAGGTTATAATAAAACTATCAAAATTCAAAATTTTATTAATAATTATTAATTAATGTGTCGATTTACATAGATTTATTATTTTTTTGCTAGTTTTCTGTATGATTTTTATCCTTGCAGTTTTTAATATCCAAAGTTCCTTTATTAATTTCTCAGTCATTAAAGAAACAAGCTAAGTGCGAGTCGGACTGGCGCACGAAAGGTTCCGAACTGGAAAGGAGCAAAAAATCCCCCTTAATTATTTATTATAATCTGGTTTTTAGTATTTGTTGTTTAAGCGGCAACAGAAATACAACATCTGTGATGCTGTCAACTATCTAACTTTTACGATTCATAACATACAACATTGTGACAGACAGTGAAGTTTTACTGATAGTGTTCCCATTTTACAATTTGGATAAGGAACCCTAATAAAAAGGAACTGAATATAATAACCGGTAATTTTCAGCACATATGAAATAAGACAATGAATCAAATTTATAAACTAGAAACTTAATAAACATATATCCTTGCCTATTATTTACGAGATTACCGAAGGTTGATAATTCCTTCACGATATACGCTTTTATTAAATTTGGCAATAAAACTTAAGAAAACTTATTATAAGATGTCTTGTACAGTTATTTTAAAAGGTGATTTATGTATTAAATATATTTCAAAGTTATTTTACATTTTACCGAAATAGGCAAATGTCTAAAATAATGGGTAGCAAGCAATAAATTTGTTCTATTTATATTTCAGTAGAATAAAATCCCTTGAAAAATAAATGAATCAAAGTCAAAGTAATCGTCAATAAATTAACTTATTAAAAGTGCCTTAGAATCCAAGTTCATACCTTCAGCGTTGCACATTCTGAACGCATCAAAGAATGTAAGAGGCATGGTGTGCATCTTCATCCAACCTCCCACCTTCGCATTGTATGAGTAGTCGTATCGAAATTGGCTGTAAACTGTATACATACATAGGTTATTTATTTAAATCACGCACGCATAAATTTTTAGCAAAATATTTACATAACATCAATTTACATATATTATACTTATTATAATATATAATAAGATTTAAACCTAACTGTAATCTACTGAATTAAGTTGAAATATGTATGCTGTTGGTTGTCCATATGAAATAAATAAAAAAATATATAAATAAGATATTACAGAAAACAAGAAGACTAAAAGTATAGCTCAATTACTAAAATTAATGAGCGAAAATGCTGTGGATATTTATGGTTCGTGCAAATCTTATGGAGTAATCTATCAAGAGTCTCAAAAAAATACGTGACGGATAATCCGTCGAGTGTGTAACATATTCAGTGTTCAATGTCATCTATTATAATGTAATAAAGAGAAAAGATTTCATTGTTTGTTTGCATCGAATTGGCTCCAAAACTATAGACCATTTTGAGAAGCTACATCACACGAGGATAACATAAGCTTTACGGGAGCAAAGTCGTGGTAAGACACCTAGCATCATATATTTCTGATCTCTGACGCTCCATAACTGACTAAACATGATAATAGAATAACAATAAATTAAACCAAAATAGAAATTCATTTATTGAATTAGAGAGTGGCGGAATAGAAATTAGCGAATATTGTTCATTCTAAGAGCTCATCCAAAACTGTTTTAATTTACCTGTGGATATTGTTACAAATATTAATGCAACGCATAAAATACACTTATTACTCGTCACCATGTTGAAGTTTACGCAAATATTTAGAAAACTGCACACTTTTGGGAATGTTACACGTTTCACAAAAAAAGAAACAATAACTGTTAAGTCTCCGCTGTAAATAAAACAGGTTTTTGGAACACGTCTCTATGTTCAATAAAAAAAAAATACACATCAAAAAACTTAAATTTTAATAGTGTAATGATTTAGAGAAAAACTACATCAAATATGAAAACAAATTAATTTAATCTATAAACCAAACAGGTTATCGTAAAAGATACGTGAACGTCTTTACACAAGGATAAATATTTATAAACTGTTTCTTATAGACTCCAATACTAATTATGTACAACTCTTAAACGAGTTATGACGCGCTAAGAATATAATTTTATGGTTCCGTATCTTAAGAAAAATTATTAACTTTCAATATGTTTCATATAAAAAAATAACGGACATAAAAGCTTTAATTAAAAACAAAAAAAAACTACATCAACTTTTTGTATCACAGCCAAAACGTGAATTTCTTCAAATCATCTCAATAGAAAAAATAAGAAAGTTACCCTTATAATTTTCAATTTTTTCCATTACTTATTTACAATCACTCTGTAGCTGGGCGAGAATCTCAATTACTACAATTTGTTTATTATTTTCTTAAAAATAATTATTTTAGGGAATCTAATGAAACTATTTACTTTTTAAAATAAATGCAGAAAATATTTCTCTACCAAAAGTCTATGTTTTAAAATGTAATGTTTATACGGAACCCTTGGTGGGCTAGCCCGACTCGTATTTAGCTGATTTTTTTAATTATAATCTAATAATTCGGAAGCGTCGTTGAGTTTGTGGTTATTCCCCATTACACATGAAACGTATTATCTATTGGATATAACAAAACTACCGATGAAACAAAACGAATAACATCGTAAATTTATTTATTCAAAAGTAAACATATACATATGTTATTAATATAATTTAATTAAGATGTATAAATTTTTTAACAATATTATTAACTGGCAATTTGATTCTAGAATACAATTTTTATTATAATCAACGAGAACGTTATAACTATAAGAAAGAACAATTATTTTAATTCATTTAACTAAAAGCAGCTTTACAACAATATTTATAAATTTTACAATAATTGAAAAAATATCCTCTCAATGATTTGCATAAGTAAGCATTTTTAAGATTAATATTAAGATAGCATTACAAATCCAAAAGTTACAAAATAAATAATAATACATTTTTAAAGAAAAAGGAAAATGCTGTCCAATGTGCCCGAGATGATACTGGTACTGGTACCTGGGACTGGTAATATTAACAATTTGTATAGCATATCGAACGCAAAACCAATGAAATATTCAATATTGAAAAAAATTACTTATAACCATTTTTATTAGTGACAGCATTTACACCACGGGGGGGACACTCCCTTAGTAGCCATAATTTTGCAAAGATAGTAGCGACATCCATTTTATTTCCCCAAAACTATTATGAGTACTACCAGGTGTGCATAAACAATACTAGATGACGCTACACGCGCTCTCGAAAAGACGAAATTTTTTAGGTATTTGGATCAATTTGTCAAAATCAATATGGCGATTACTGTGCTCTTGCGTTCATATATTTGTATTTTGTCTTCGTCATTTTGTTCTAGTGGCTACAAAACCTCAAGTTAAGTGTGTCGAGTTGAGATTTATTCTCCTCCACCTTACCGTGTATTTGTGCTGTGGATTTCTGTAGTTTCAGAACTTTATCGCGACAGGACGCTTATTTAAGTTTGTTTTGTGTTAAGATTATTATTGTCGTAATGCCCCGACTTTGTTCTTTCGGACGACACCTAGTGGTAAGCATAATAATAATCTATTAAACTTCAATGCAGCTAACTCACATCATGTTTTTAATTGACTTTAACAATGAGGTTATCAATTATTTATTTTCCTTCTTATCAACACACTAACGAAACAAAAATAACCAATAAGTTTCTATAACACACCGTATAAAGTGGAAAGAATGAGATAATAACTATATAATGGCTATATCTTTAATGTCTATAATATTGCCATGACTTCCTGTTTCAGATGTCACTATGCACTCATTCCCAAAACCTGAAGTTTCCTGAACGTTTCAAAGCTTGGGTTACATTGGTTGGTGGAAAACTGGAAACAGAAGGAAAAAGTTTGCGATATTCATTTTATACACAGACATACAAGTCGTTTAAGACGTTTGAATGCTTTGGCTGTCCCATCAGAGAATTAACAGGGTATGTATGTTTATTTTGAAATACAGTAAAAGTTTAGAAATCGCTTTAGGCACAAATCTTATGAATAACATAAAAATGTGTAATGAAACAAACATTATGAAACAATGGGAATAAAAAAAGGATGGGCTATGTTTTGACAAACTCCATATAGGTGCAGATGTGCTTGTGTGTCATGTGAACATTAATTAGTATGGCCCCGATTGACAGATTTAAAATCTAGACGGCAATACCTGAAAGCGGTTGGCTTATTTAATATATGTCACAGTGAGTATGACTGTACTGAATTAATAAATAAAATTAATTATTTAGTACCTAAGCGGGCGCAAACGAGCTCCCTGCGTAAACACTAACTGTTTGCTATATTTAAATTTTGTACAAATACAGGCAAGAGATCTCCAGTGCATTGAGTAGCAAAATTTTATAACAATGGTTTACATGAAATCGACATATTCAATTTAAACAAAACAAAATTCAAAGAGTTAGTTAAGAAAGAATAAGTGAACTAAATTGCAATGCCATATCATCATAAAGTAATATATATTATCATATTTGTAACAGTTTTGTTTGTGTAGTGTTCATTTTTCTTAGTAAGTGTTTAAGCTGATAACATATGCAACTTTCAACTACTCATAGTAACTTGTAGTTAACGTTGCTTTTGCAATTATAAAACTGTGTACATCATATCATAAATTGGAATGCTATTGTAAAACTGTTTGTTGACCCAAATAAACAAAACAAAAAAAAAAACTCCAAATCTATGTTGGCTTAGTAATAGTAACAGGACAAATTATAATATTACTAAATTCTATACATACACTTTCCTAAAAGTCACGAGCACAGCTAGATTTGTAATGATTCAATTTAATATATTGATCAATCACATGATATTTTCTAATTTCTACTGTATATAAAAATTACCACCAATAACCATTACATATCCAACCAACCAGTGACATGTATAGTTATTGTTTTAGTAAAACTCAAAAGAGTATTTTTATAATTTCCAGGTTCAAGGGGAATTCTTGAGGAGCTCCCAGTTGCTCCTAATGAAGAAAATAGTCAATTGTCAAGAAGTTCAGGTAAATTTAACTTGGAACTATAAATTTGAATTAAATTTAAAATAAAGATTTTAATAATCTATTCTTTATGGAAGAAATTACATAATTGTTCATTTTTATTACAGGTTTGTTTCCAACAATGACAGAGGAAAGTTTGTATTCTTCAAAGTATGGCAACCAATCTCATGATAAATTGCAATCTTCCCAAATATCCTCTTCAGGTAAATAAATAATTATTAATACACACTAGTATACTGGGTATGCTTAATTATTATAATAACTTTTTATATAATTTCATATCAATAATTTTATTATTATAAAATGTACATTTGAAATAATGACTATTGACATTTACTGACTGACATTAACAAGACATTTAATTAGCTCAGTGTGATCTTATATTATGTGGAGGTGAATGAATATATAAATAAATAAATATTTAACAACATCACATACATTGCTCAGATTCTAAGATGAGTAGCTAAAGCCCCCGTATTATGGAGTATCTGAGACAACGAAGGTACCACAACACCCAGACCCGAGTCAATAAAGAAAAGTTCATTTTCTACATTGACCCGACCGGGAAACGAACCCGGGACCTCAGAGATGGCGACACCTTGAAACCGGCGTGCGAACCACTCGCCTACGGAGGTCGAATTTTGTTTAAAATAAGACTTGTATTAAGTAATATTCATTTTTTTTTATATCAACATATATAATATTCAAGACGCCTAAAAACAATTCATTTAGCACTTATGTAAAGTTCACCTGTTTTAATTTTTGTTAATATAACCATCATTCTATATATCACTCAAATAAAGTTTTTTTTCTCATTAAGTTTAATTTGTATGCCAAGTAATTAATATAACCATTATTTTATATATTTAGCAATGTTTAATTACAATTTTATTATAATCTCTAAAAATTGATACAAAGATTATAATCTAATTTATGAAGATTATATAGTTATACAACTAAAGACTACAAGTTATACTACTAAACATATATATAGTCAGTAGTTTTCTGTGGAAAATGTAAGAGCGAGAAAAAATTACTAAATAGAAGTAGATACTACAATCATTTCTGATATAAATAATTGATTTCGTTCTCAAATACTAGTTGAAGACATAGATTATTTTTTGGTATTAATAATATAGATATATCTTTAATTTTCAGTTGACTCTCAGTACATCCCTTATGTAGAAGATATCATCAGGGAACATAACTATAGTTCGTGTAGCAGATCTAAAAGAACGCACCTCCACAAGGTATTTAATTTAAACAGTTAGAGTAAATAATTTTAAAAACTATTATCATGGACCTTTATTATAAACAGTACACAAAAGGTTTCTTTTTTATTTTACAGTTGCTGATTATATTACCAAAAAGTTTATGCGGCAGATAAATGCTATGGAGAATTAAGATTATTAAATAAACTAACGGAGGAACACATTGATCCTGAAAAAAATAATAAAATGAGAGTGAAATTAGCAACACAAGTATTCAGTCACAGTATTGATGTAGTTGCTGAGCACCTTACGGCGCGAGGAGATTTGCAAGAAGAGTGTCGTCAACTGGTGAACATAACATTATTAATTGATGATTTATTTGACAGTCTAAATATCAACACGCTAAACATTCCCAATGGAAAAATTTATAAAGGTCCGGTAAAGCGAATCTCACCCATCACGAGTTATGGACTAGAGCAAAAAAAATTTTACATAGTGTAAAATTCATAAAAAAAAAAACAAAATATTGCTGGTAAAGTCATTGCAACAGAAAGTGTAATTCCTTCATCCAAAAATTTTATAAAAACAATTGAAAACATGGAGGCAATTTGGAAGGTTTTGTATCAAAACTATAGGTTAGATTGTTTGTTGACTAACAATTTAAATCAAGACCCCATTGAAAACTTCTTTGGGAATATCAGGAGTTAGAAACATAGCTCCTAACACTGTTGGATTTGAAGGAGCGTATAAATCATTGCTATTAAATATTTCAACACGCCTCATTCACTCAAAATAAACTGTGAGGCAGATTATAATCAATGTCTACAAAACATAATTTTTTTAACAGGAAATTTAAAAAACTACTGATATTCCCAAAAATGATAGTGAAATATTTATTAATTAAAATATTATAATGGGCTCTAATGAGAATAGTGACGCCGGCCAAATTAACTATGTATGTGGATGGGCATTAAGAAAATATTTGAAAAAGGCGAAATGCAATGCATGCAGCAATATATCGCAAGATAAAAATGGAGAGAACCTACATAATACATTAATAAAATCAAAAGAATATAAAAATTGGTTATGTTATCCAAGTACTCTACTAGAAAATTGCTTCCGTGATATGCAAAATATTACTCACATAACGTTAAATTTTTTTTTTACCAAAAGTAATATATCAGGAAATATACTTTGTTGTAAAATTATTTGTAACTGCCTCCTGTGTGTTCTTGTTCTTATCACACTGATTGTTTTTATTAACATTTTGTTAAAGCAACTGTACATTTAATTATTTATAATTGGTGCAAGTCAGTAAATAGAATTTTGAGTGGAAGAATTAATTACCAGGGTGATGACGAGACCAAATTGACAGCGCAAGTATATTATAATAAGAGGAAACAATACAAAAACAGAAAATAATAAAATGTATACTTGTATTTTTTATGAATGACTATGCTGATCATGTGCTGTATGCATTTGTTTAACTTATCGAAATAAACAACTTATAATTAGTGAACAATGTCGTTTCTTTTTCAAGTTTTCGTCGCTCGCCTCTTTTTGTTATCGTCGCTCGAAAAATACAAACTGTAAAAACCATAGTAAAACTTTTAAAAGAAAGTTGTTCATTATGCTCAATTTTCTTTTAAAAGTTTAACTACAGTCTTTACAGTTTGTATTTTTCGAGTGGCGCGAAGAAAGAATCCTATAACTATAATACATACCTACTATAGGTATACCTATATAGCAATAGTTTTTGGGGAAGTAATGCAGATGGCGCTTCAAT